GCGTTGTTGTGAAATATTTTACTTTTAATTAAATTTGTAAAATCTATTTACTAGGACTTTCAAAAAACTGAAATGCACAATATGACGCATACCAAAATACGTTCCAAAATTTTTTTTTTAATTTTTAAATTTACAACAAAATTTTTTCTAATTTCGGAAAATCATATACAATCATATCGGTTACTTGGATTTTTTAATTTTTTTATTTTATATCTTTTTGTAAAGAAAACAAAATTTTTTTTTCTTAATAGTCTTATGAACGTGGACTTGGCGCGATTTTTTTACAGTGAAACTGTTTTTGTTCGGATAATTAATACCCAGGCATAAAATTTTACTTTTTTCTTACTAAAAAATTTCTAAAAATTGATAAAAAGCAATGTTTATTGTGATTTAATCATAAAATTGATTAAATAATCAATAAAATAAAACAACATGTCAATAATAGGGGCTTTTACCTTAAAACCCTTATTTTAACTTGAAACCTTACTTTTACTTGTTTACTTCATTACCTAAACCAGGTTCCTGGACCCATAACCTGTTGGAATCTCTAGTGGAATACTGGTTCAAGTGAATGAGTAGTTACAAGGAGTTGTTAAATAAGCATCTATACCTGATGGTTTATTATAACAGACTAATTAGTACAATAGATTTTTATGCTATAGTGATAATGATAGGTCAGTGAGGGTAGGTAAGATGACACGCATGAGCCGATGACTCCAACAAGATAGAGAAGAAACTGATAAGAACCTTTTTGATAGAGAATTAAACTTTCTGAAAAAAAAAACTATCTTATAATTTTTCCTTTAGTATTTAGCCCAAAATTTTAAGATTTTATCAATTTGTATTGATTTTTTCAAGAACAGAGTCTAAACTATAGTTTTTGAATTGGTGATTAATTATTCTAATTATCATTATAACTCCCTAACAGAAAGCAAGCTGATAGATTTATTTATTTTTACCTCCAAGAAGTATAATTCCTTCATGACTAGTGTGTCCACATATAAGAGGAACCTTAATTCCCGACTTGGTAGCTTCATTCAACGGAACATTCAAAAACGGAAGCTTGGATTTAGAATCCACTGATGGCACAAAGGTATTGTTGATCAAAAACCGATCCTGCCAAGTTTGGAAAGAGTGATCTGCTCGGACTAAGTCAAGCGCGGGAACAGTTTTGAAAAATGCTATCAATTCTTTAGTATTTGTTACACTTTTTCCCAAATGATCTGCAATCTTCTCGGCCTGGTTCTTCATCGGGAGTGTCGTGTTTGCCCATGGATTCGTCGCAACTCCACTCTGCATGATTGCCTTGTGGAACAGTCCTGTAAATTCAATTATACAAAGAATTAGAAGCTCGTTTTTTAGAATATTTAAAATTCGAACCTTGAGCTAAGGGAGACAAAGTTAGGTAATGCACTGCAGCACTTCCTGCGCTTTCACCAAAAATAGTAACATTGGTTTTATCTCCGCCAAATTTTTCAATGTTCTGTTGTATCCACTTCAGAGCTACTACTTGGTCCTTCAATCCTTGGTTTCCTGGTGCATCTTCATCGTCCAAGTTCAAGAAACCTTTAACAAATTAAAATAGTTTTGTTATTCAACAGTTTGAATTTAGATTCTGGGGTAAATATTGAAGATACGAAGAAATCAAATGAAACTTTTTTTTTAGAAAATTTAATTTTTTACAAAGAAGGTCCTTATCAATTTTTCCATAATTCTCATCATTGATGCATAAATCGGATTCAAACCCGAGTCAAAATTTAAGTCGTAAATTCAACATATTGAACGTTCAAATCGATAATTCGATGTATTGAACGTTAAAAACGTTAGTTGAACGTTTAAAATGTCAGTTTATAAAATAGAATAAATTCAACTGTTTTAAAAAAATACATGATCCATAGTAAAAATAAAAAGTTATAAAGATCGTTATTCACATACTCAAAATAATCTTTCTAGTTGATCATTTGATATCAGCTATACTCTTTTTGAAAGAAAAATGAGCTTGATAACTTCTAAGGCCAAATTTTCTAGCTGTGAGAGTATCCAAAGATACTCCAAGTATTACTGGTTCTTAATTAAACACTTGGTAGTCTTCTTAAACAGCAATATGCAGCCATAAACAGCCAAAAAAATTCAGACTAAGCATTTTCATCGAACAGATGGTAGAATTTCAACCAAAAAACTGAAATTCTGCCTAACAAAATTGAAAAAACATTTTTTGTTATACTCACTCCAGAAGTTCAACTTCTGAGCGCTGGGTGGCGTCCGTAAAGGGACTCTTTTCTAGAGACTCTACCATACCGTCTTTTTTTCACGGCCTAGGCCGTGAAGTTTTACCCCCTCCTTTTTTTTACCAACTTTTCATGTACACTCAGACGAAATTGAGAGAGATTGTAAAAAAAAAGTCACATTCTAGCGTACCGACCGATAATTTTTAGTCTTAGTTACTATTGAGTGGCGCTAATTATTTCTCTGCTGGCAGTTTATTATGAAGTGGACCTAATGTTAATAAAATAACAACAACGCCATAAATAAATACTAATAAAACGTTATTTACATTGTCTGGACATTAGCAAGATTTTAAGATTAATAAAAAGATAATTATTATAAAATTAATTTTTTTTGGCCTTGTGAAACTTCCTAAAATTTAAATATGTCATTATTTGCCTCCTATCCCTCAAAAGTTAAACTTATGGAGCGATAATAACAAAAAATATTGTATGTCATTCGGCCGTTTAGTGGCGATTTTGACAACGACTTTTTTTCGATATTCGCTTTAATGTTTGTGACGTGAATGTTCGAAAACGAGCGTAAATTTCCGTCCTCGGCTACGCCTTGGACGTTAAAATTACGCCCGTTTCGAACCTTCCCGCCACAAACCTTAAGCTCATATCGAAATATCGTCGCTGTCAAAAAACCGCCACTTCACGGCCTTATGACATAAATATCTATTTTATCGTACTTCCGTTTAAAAGCAATACGTTGAACTTACGTTTTCAACGTCTCTAATACACTAAATTTACGATTTGAAAGTTCAATACGTTGAATCTACGATTTAAATTTTAACTCGTGAAACTTTCGAATGCAAAATATTACTTTCAAATGTTAAAACTAAAAATTTTGAGTTGGTGCTTATCAATTTTTCCATAGCTCTCATAATTAACGTATAAATCAAATTCCAAGTTAGTATCACAAATGTTCAATAAAATATATTAGTTCCAAAACTTCAAATTCAAAATTCTGGATTAAATATTGAAGATATAAAAAAATCATTAAAAACGTATCTTGTAGGAAATTAAATTTTCTACAAAAAAGGTTCTTATAAATTTTCTTTTATCTCTCCCTTCATCGTGAATTCCAGTTTCAAAGTCACCTTCTTCATAAAAATCAAATTAACCCTACCATAATATTTTTTAATGATTATAAACCATTAATATAAATCTGTCCCTAAAAATAACATTCTCTACTATAATTATATCCACCCTCATTCTCGAAAGTCAACAAAATTTCCAAGACAAATTTCAAGCTCACAATAAAATTACCTAGAATCCCAAGACGGTAATTAATAGTAACCAAAACAACGTCTTTCTCAACAAGAAAATCCGGTCCATAAACGTCATCATTTCCTGAGCCTCCAACGAACCCGCCTCCGTGAATCCAGACCATAACGGGTCTCGGCACCGTAGGAATCAATTCCTTGGTATATACATTAAGATACAAGCAATCATCGCTTCCTATGATTTGCTTTGTCCGCCAGTCGAACTGCGCACTCACATCTCCGTATTCCTTGGCCTCTTTTACTCCAGACCAGGGTTCTACAGGTTCTGGGTCCTTTAACCATTCAAACAAAATCAGTACTTTAATCACACTCACATCTGTCAATCACAAAATCAAAATCAAAATCAAAACCTTGAATCTGAGATCTCCGACCGGCGATTTCGCGAATGGAATTCCTCGGAACGCGTAGAAGCACCCGTTCTTCCTGATATTTGTCTCCCGGGTCCCAGACAATTTGCCTTGCTGCACTTGAACAATCGGATTATCCATAATTGACGTATAAATATAACGCGGCTTAACTACGCGAGTCTCTTCGCAGCACTAAACTCCTCAGGAAATTTGTGTCAACGCTGTACGCTTGTATCGTGTAGCCGTGCCCCTTCTCTTTAGACATATATGTACACACATATATTTATATATAGATATACTCGTTGCGTAATCTTCTTCTCGCCCACTTATCATTCTTTTATTTATTTCTATAATGGAAGAAAGACGGATATTCTTGATTACAAGTTTTGTCGCTATCTACGGACTAATATTATAATTAATAGATGACTTTGTAAAATTTCAAGTGATAAAACTTGCATTGAACGTTTAATTCATAGGAATTATCGATAACGAGGCGATAAGATACATATTATAGAATATAATGTAACCAGTTTATCGCTTTAGATATCTAACCATTTATATTGTCGCGATGCATTATTCATTAATTTAATGTTGTGCAATTTTTTTCCGGATTGAAGCTTATTTATAACAGTTTCTTCCTTATAAGTACTGGTTGACGGTTTTTATGATAAAAAAAGGAATTTTTTTACCAGTTGCCTTTTAGATTTGATAGAATAATTATTAATTATTGATGATTATAGAGTATTTGGTTAATCAAAGTGATTTCAGCATGAAACCTTTTTTGTAGGAAATGAAATTTTCTCATATTTTTTTTTGTATAGGTACCCGATATTTAAAGGAGTATTCTGGTCTAGAAGTATGAAATTTCAGGTTATTTTTGAAGTCCCGTAAAAAAAGGCAATCAATATTTTACCATCAATTTTTTATAAGTTATTTATTAACATTATAAGAATATAGAAAAAAATAAACAAATAAAACAGGTTGAAATTTCAAAAAATTAGCAGCTGATCAAGTGGGGAGGTCTCAAAAAATTGGCACGTGACGATATCCACGATTCCATCCCTAATCCAATTTAACTCTAAATTAAACCTATACTTACTTAGTTCTTATAAATTGATAAACAAACCATAATTATGAATAATGATTAAAATACTTCAACTGATTATGCAATTTTTCAATATCAAAACCGGTTCCATCATTAACAATTCTCATCAGCGCGAATTAAATAAATAATTGTAGTGAATAAGCAACTAATTTAGTTAAAAATCAGTTTTGATGAGTATCAAAAAAAGTCTGGGTCGATTTATCATTTTATTAATCTTCAAAAAAATTACAATGAAAAACCCAAATCATTTTTGAAACTTCGTCGATAGTTTATGCAAGATATTTGTCCCTCTGATAAGATCCAAATCCTTGGATATTTTCAAGCAGTTAAATTCCGTCGCACTTTCGATCGGCAGCCATTCAACGTCAACAATTTGAGAAACCGAATTAGAATTTCTGAAAGAAAATTCTTAGTTATCATTTATAATAACTAATTCAATTAAATTCCTAAATAAGTACCCGGTTTTCGCAAAATTGGTCCATAACTCGACAAATCTCTGCCTGATGACTCCTTCAGTAGAACATTTCTCTGGAGGTTCTATTCCCATTGCGTTGAATAGGTTCGGTCGGAATAGATAAACTAGGTCTTCAGCATGACAAGTACCTGAACCAAAAATTCATTGAATAAAACAATCATCAGCAAAAAGACGATTTCTGAAGTTTAGAAGTAAACTAATACAGTTTTCAACACTCATACCTTCCAATCCAGTCCCAAATAGTCTCTGCATAACCGCAGAGTCCTTCGAATAGAATTCAAACTTATAGACAAAAGTTTCCACATCTTTAAGAGGCTGAAGCTTCAGAATATGGTGTATGTTAATCAGAAAATGAACTGCAGTAAACAAATGGACAATCTTATCAGCGTTTTCCGACTTGAATTCCTTTCCCGCCATGAAGTACTCCTTGATATCTTTCGCAGATGTTCCTTTCCTTCAAAAATTTTTTAATTGTCCGATGCAGCAGCAGTTCTTCTGGATTTGCTTCTATTTCAGCGTAAGAACTCTCTGCTATTGTTGAAAATCATGATATATCATCAATAGTTCAGTTAAAATTTGATGAAAACGGTTGGATACATACTTGGAACAAATACGATTCCTTCATGGCTGGTGTACCCAATGATATGCGGCACCCTGATCCCAGCTTTAGCCGCTTCGATCACTGGGATGTTCAAAAAAGGAGTTTTGGACTTTGAATCTACCGAAGGAATGAAGGGATTCTCGAACAAATGGAGCTTCTGCAAGATTATTCCCAAATAAATTCATCAGAATAATAATTCTAAGCTGATCAAAAGGCATACTTTCATATCCTTGATTACTTACTCTGCCTGAACGAGCTGCAACGCATCAACAGACCGCAAGAACTTGATCAGTTCTTTGGTATCAGTGATCCTGTTGCCCAAAACAGCTGAAACTTCAACGGCAGCTTCTTTAGCTGAATAGAGAGCACTCGCCCAGGTGTTGGTAGCAACTCCACTCTGCAAAATCGCCTTGTGGAACAATCCTAGACACAATTCACAGTTTAGTATCACTTCGATGGTTCAAAAACACTTCAAATATTCAAGAATAGTACCTTGAGCCAGTGGCGAAAGAGTCAGATAGTGAACAGAAGCGCTACCAGCACTTTCACCAAAAATGGTGACGTTAGAGGAATCTCCTCCAAATTTTTCAATGTTCTGCTTCACCCACTTCAGAGCCATCACCTGGTCCTTCAATCCTTGGTTTCCTGGAGCTTCTTCGTCGTCCAAATTAAGGAATCCTATTATTCCAACCCGATAATTTATCGTCACTAGAACAACATTCTGCTCAACAATGTAATCTGGGCCGTAGATATCGTCATTTCCAGATCCTGAGTAAAATGCTCCGCCATGGATCCAAACCATAACTGCTCTAGGAACTGCAGGTTTCAGTTCCGTCGTGTAGATGTTCAGGTACAAGCAATCGTCGCTTCCAGTCATTTCTTTGGTGAACAAATCATTTTGCGCGCACTTATCACCGAATTTGGAAGCATCTCTGATACTCTTCCAGGGATCGGCAGGTTCTGGGTCCTTTAAAAAATAATTATCTGTTTATTATTCTGGAGTAATACTTAACTAATTTTCTGCATACGATACCTTGAATCGGAGATCACCAACTGGCGGTTTTGCAAATGGAATCCCTTTGAATGCGTAGAAATCAACTCCATTGATATTATTTTCTCGGGTGCCTGATAACTGGCCTTGTTCGACCTCCACAATCGGACTCTCCATGATTACTGCTGTCACGTAATCCGATGACTTCACTTATTGCCGGACTGCCACCTCTTTCGGAGATTGCATATCATTCGACGATCCAAGGTCCATGTAGATTAGCTTGCGAATCGCCTTGGAATCAACGATTAATTGTGAATAGTTGGATGATGGAAAGGGAATTTCTACGCATTCAGGAGAAAAGAGATAGCTTAATAGTGGACAAGTGGAAATATTTGATTTATCTTATCATGGTTGATGATTTGGATAAGAAATTAATGCAATCTCTAGGAGATATTTAATAAAGATATCGAGAGTTCAATAAGCAATCTTGATTAACTTTTTTGAAAAGAAGGTAGAGATCAATTGTTTTAAAGGTATCGATGACTACAAAAAATAAAAAAAATAACTAGAATCTAGTTGATAATTTATTAAATTTTTAGTTTTGATCTAAATAGTTTTTTTCATTTTTTAAAGTTTATTTTACATTTTGATCCAAATAGTTTTTCGATCATATAATTCAATTGAAGAAAATTTGGTCCTTAAATATACTCTGATAAAATTTTTCTACAAGCAAAAGAAAGTGTCCATCTAGCGGCGAAATGAAAAACTACCTTCTAATAGATAGCACCAATTGATAAATTATTCTGAACTATTATTATTTGAAATATTTTGATAATTCTTTTTAAAAAGTTGCTTAAATTAAGACAGCAAAATTCTTAATGAAAAAGTTACTTATTATCCACGTCGACTAAAGGAGAAAATTTGGTTCTTTATATATACTCTGATAAGATTTTTCTGCAAGCGAGAAGGCGTAGCCACCTAGCGGAAAACCCCAGGACTACTTTCTAATAGATAGCCCCTAATAATTAAATATTATTTGAACCAAGCTCAGAAAAATACAAATTTTTTATTTGAAACTATTTTTCATTAATCACAAATTTTTGCATCAATCTCCATACTACTGTATTGTGATTTATAGAAAAACTATATTAATATATAGATTAAATTATTTTTTAAAAAGTTACTTTTATATAGATCGTAAAATTCTTAATGAAAATGTTACTTATTATCTACTTAGACTATTGGAGAAAATTTGGTTCTTTATATATACTCTGGTAAGATTTTTCTGCAAGCGAGAAGACGTAGCCCCCTAGCGGTGAAACCAAGAACTAATTTCTAAAAAATACTAGAGATTTTCTTGGAACTCTTCGACTTTAATTCTAGAATATTGGCCTTATCAACAATAATACAATGCAAAATTGGGTAACTTGGTAAAACCATAAGTATGTTAAACAAAGCCCGAAATGGAAAAAGAGAATTAAAACTTTAGCGGAATTATAAAGTCACATGAGAAGAGAAATGAGTTTACAAAGATAGTTGCAATCCATGGTCTTCTCTTGAGATTTATTAAATATGCACTGCAATATCCTTTGTATCTCTAGAACATAATCTTAATCCCCAAGACTATTAACTTTCCAACGATGGAGAATCTAATAATTCATCGTTTCGGAAAATCCAACTTTACTAATGTAAAGTTTTCCATGAAATTTCAGCCGGAACTTCAATGTTGAATAAGTTAAAAGAAAAAAATCTTTAGTTTTAATTCCACGAATAGAATATTTTCGTCACAATATTCTTAACTTGAACTTAATAATTCTTTAGTCTAAGCAATTATAAAAGCAAACAAAAGCAAAGTTATTTACAACCTTCACCCTTTCAGAAAAACTCTCAACCCCATTCTCGCTAATTCTTTGGATTTTTTCAACTGTGACCCATAAACTCGTGTTGAATGTCGGTCGTCACGTTTCTCATGATCCCGTTGGAAAAAATAACTAACAAAAGTAAATCTTTATAAAATAGAATTTTACAGGTAGAAAGAGAAATTTAATAAAATATTTACTGTTTTCTATTTATTCTATTTACTTGGTCTTTTCGTTCAGATAATAATATCCAATGCACGTGTATTATCACACACCGTTGTATGAATGCCAAATGCGAAGTGAGAGTAATGTGCGGTACCGTACTGACCCGGAATTAATATAAATCATATTATAACTTTTCTGATTGAAAGTTATGTTTTGTGAAGTGTGTAATGTGACCTTACAGTTGGCTGAGTATTTTTTGAAGTTTCCCCCATGAAAAAAAAAATATATTTAAAATATATCTGAAAATCGGCCAAAAGTTAGTTATTAAAAATATATTTACTATACATATTTTTTATATATTTTTAATATATTTCGACATATATTTTTTTTTTTCATGGAGTTTGTTCAATTTGCAGTATAAGAGTTAACGATACACTGAAAAAAATTTCTGTATACGAACAAAATTATTTTTAAGATAAATTGATATTTATTTAAGAATTTCTCGGGTAGAAACCGTTTTTTTTAGCTTGACCTAAATAATGTGACATCAATTGGTACCTTTTATTAGAAGTTAGTTCTTGGTTTTACCACTAGGTGGCTACTTCTTCTCGCTTGTAGAAAAATCTTACCAGAGTATATATAAAGACCGGAACAAAAATTTAATATGTTCAATGAATTTCATTGCAGATAAAGATTGTTGAGTGAAATGTAGGTCATCTTGTTTGAAAATAATATTCGTGGTTGGTAAAACAAATAAAATTCTTAAATGTGTAAATTTTTCTCTTTCTCTTGTTTTATTTTTTTAATTCTATCCGTAAATTCTTAACTTAATTCTTCCTAAATATCTCGAAGCCAGAGTCTTTCCCGATAAAATTTCTCTTGAACCAAGTAGTTTTTTTCAGTGCAAGTATAAGTACCCAATAATATTAAAAAGTGACTTTAAACTTTTTCGATTACGATCTTGGTACTTGCCACCGAAATGGCGCTCAAAAGTGGGTCTAACCCAGCCTGAGAAGCTTTTATCACAGAATAACTAATTTTTACTCCCAATAGTTGTTTTCAGGCCCCCGTCCCAATTCCTGACAAAGGTGTCCCAATTATTGTACCAACAAAAAATTCGATAAATTCTTGAATTAATTCTCTCTAAATATTTCCAAACAATCAAAAAATTTTCTAAAGAACATTTCTTTTGAATCAACTAGTTTTTTTTCACTCAATAAGAATATTTAAAAGTTATCGATTAGAAAAAAAAAGGTAGCGCTGAACTATGCGAAAGAATATCATTATTGTCCCATCACTTTCCTGTTTGGCGCTTTAGGTTCCCGGGAAACGCATAAAGATAGATGGAAAGTGCATATCCAGACGGGGCTGCCGCTACTCTGTACTTAACTCTCCATGCTGCTGGAGAAGAATGAGTAACCTATTTACCTTTGAAATGCATAAAATACCCTCTATGTATGATACTGCACTCATGGGAGGGTGGCAGCTAGACAGAATGTTCAGTCAAGAGTATCGAGGACAATACACTTGAACTTTATTTTCATAAAAACATTTTTATTTTTTGACTTTGACCAATTTTATAGAAGAATTTTTTAACTGTTAATGAATATTTATAAAATCATTTTAAAAATAATGCTAGAACTTTTTATAATACAGATACGAAACACTAATTATTTTGCTTCATTATTGATTTTTTACTCAAAATAAATCAAAATAATTGAAACAAATAATTTTAAGTAAAAATAGAAGGTATTATAAAGAAAAGAATCTCATTAAATTATAATTTATTTTTTGAGACATTTATAAAAATTAAAATTCAAATGAAATGACATGGAAGACATTTGGGAGTAGGTGTGTTTTTAAAGGTTTTATTAATCTCCCAAAATCGAGTTGAATAAAATAATCTGAGTCAGCAAATAGATTATGTATCACATTGGAATTAAAATATAGCCACCAACCGACAATACTTACCAAGTAAATATTTAGTACCTACTACTAAATATTATTTGGTAGAAACAAATATTTAATTCCATGTAATAAGGCTTTGTTTATATTAATATAATTTATTTAGAATAAAAAAATCATTTATTAAACTGTAACAAATAATATTGATGTGGGTAAAAAATATTTTTTTCTCCCAAAAAAGTGATTAAAAATTTTGTAACTAAATCAGTTTAGTACTTCGTACTAAATCCTTCTATCGACAAATTTTTATTGACAATTAATAAATTCTAACAACCTTGCAGTCACTGCGTGACTGCCGTAATTTGTGAACTATAAATAAATAAAATTTTGCTTTATTAAATAATGACTTTTGTTAAATTACACTGTACTTTCTTAACTATTAAGATTTTTAAAGATATAAGCTCATCCCGATGCTACACTCATCAAGAGCTTTCATTCGAGTACCCACATGCATTTTTGATATATTTTTCATATATACATATATAAAATATATATAAATATATGAAAAAATTGATGTGGATACTCAAATGAAAGGCCTTGATAAGTGTAACATCGGGACGAGCTTATATCTTTAAAAATGCCAATAATTCACAAGATATTTCTAAAATTGCACTGCACTTTCTTAACTATTGACCTTTTTAAAGATATAAGCTGATCCCGATGTTACACTCGTCAGAAGTTTTCATTCGAGTACCCACATGCATTTTCATATATTTTTCATATATACATATATAAATATATGAAAAATTGATGTGGGTTCTCAAGGTCAAGTAAAAGGTCTCGATGAGTCTAATGTCGAGGTGAGCTTATATTTTTGAAAATGTCAGTAGTTGCCAAGATACAAAGTTATTTCTTACTTATTGATATTTTTAAAAATTTAAGCTCATCCCGAGCTTACACTGATCAAGAGCTTTCATTTGAGTACCCACATGCATTTTTGATATATTTTACATATATTCATATATATAAATATATAAAATATATGAAAAATTGATGTGGGTACTCAAATGAAAGGTCTTGATGAGTGTAACATCGGGATGAGCTTATATCTTCAAAAATGTCAATAATTCACAAGATACGAGGTCATTTCTTAATTTTGTATCTAGAGATAGAGTATTTTCGAATGCAGCTTAAATGCTTATCATCATAAATCGACTATTGGTGAGAACGATATGAAACCTTGAAAAGGCACAACTCCAGGTCAAGACTTTTCCAACGATACCAAATTTAACCATAATAACCTATTTTATCATATATAAATACACTGCTCACAAAATTTTGCTTATTCTCTTAATAATATAGATTAATTAACAGTTAATAAATTGTGTTTAATAAACAATTTGTTAATTATCAATAAAAATTTTTTAGTTATTAAAAAATATTTATTGATAAGAATTAAGTATTAGAAAATCCTTTGATGAGTGTAAAAATTTTTTTTAATTTTTTTCCTTTTTTTCTGACACCCTTTGACTCGAATGTAGACCACCTTTTACGTCTTGTTACCGACTATCGTCTTTCTAAGA